ATTTAATTTACATACGGTGTATTTGATCATATTCTCGAAACACGATCTCGAGAACCCTCCGAAGAACAGGAGGAAGGTAATAACGCAAGAACAAGTACATTCAATATTTATTAGTACCGGACTTACATACAAGGCTTGTGTCCCTTGTGTCAGTCCGGCCACGTCATACTCATAACAAATACCCTTTTATAATAATTTTTTAATATTTTACTTTTATTTTAATTTCTCTTATTTTTGTGTTATTACAAGCCAATGACAATTTATAACTTTTAAAAAATTACTAATTTAATTATTACTTGAAAATTAAGTATGATGACAAAAATTTAATTATTTTATTGTATTCAGATTGAACGTTATTGTATTTTTTGATACTTCATAAATATATTATTTTATAACATGTTAGGTCGTTGTTGAGAAAATCTTGCTAGTTGTAGAAGCTTAGTCGCTTCAAAGTAATTTATTAAAAGCTGAAGTCTCATAAATAAAATAAAACAATCTAGAGGAGATCAACTTAGGTACATTTAGCGACTCCGGATGAAAAATACTTAACAACAATGATCTTTTTTTAATTTTTAATAATTTACATCTATATTACTACATTATTATGGTAATCTTCATCATTAATTTTTATTGTGTTTACCGTTGTTGATGATGCGCAGTTAGGTAACCACTAACTAACTAGGGTAATCTAATTCTTCCAATTAGTTTGGGCTTACCAAGCAATCGTTCTATAACGAGGAGGATCAAAATTCAAAACATTGTTAATAAAATCCATGCCTTTGCGCTTATTAATACAATATTTAATAAAAAATTAAACCAGATTACATTTTTTTTTTATATATTCATTTTTATTTGAAATAAACAATCTAGACATACGATACATAATAAGCTTATATGCTTATAGTGAGAATTTAAATGAAGGGGCTGATTAAGCAGTTACCCATTAACGACACTTATCTTAATTCATTTTTTTTTTTAGTTATCATTTATTGTAGAGAACATTTAAAAAAATACACTATAAAATACTCAGTTGATTTACGATTCAAACTATTTCATGGTAGATTCACAAGACTAAATATTCATAAAATGTAGATTAAACAATGCTTGATGGTATTTTTAACCCTTTTTTTCTGTAATTATCCATTTATTAATTTTATTTAAATGTTTTTATCGAATTTTCAAATACTCCAATTTTTACACTTTAAGAAATAATTTATGATAATACAAACTTCTATTTTAAAAAAGAACCATAATTTTTGAATATAAATTGTTATTTGTTGTCAAAAAGTTTATGTACCTACCTATACTCTATATACACCAACATTTAAACAATATATTTTATAATTTGTAAAATGTTTGAGTATAAACTAAAACCTGACTAATTATTTAATATATTTTGTGTAAAACCATAACTAAGCACTATTATTCTCGGAAAATAACGTTTAATAACTTAAAAACAATTCGTCCAAATTTTTATTTAAACCCAACAATAATGTTGATAAAAAATAAATGATCGTATAAATGTATTCAAGTTACAGAAAAAAAGGGTTTTAAAAATATTTTCTTATTTGCGTCATGCCTTGAGTTTCTTATGGATATAGGAAACTCAATAGAAACAGTAAACATCTATGATGTTTAAATTTTAAATATCATTAACAGTTCCAAAGATCAAAGTTTTAATTAATTTGTTAATGAATGTAAATAAATTAAGCATATTTGGTGAATGACAATGGTTTAAAAATTCTAAATTATAGAAACATAGAAAATGTAAATGAAAAACAACAAACTTGAAAAATATATACACATAGAAAAAATTGTAGATCATCTGAATCTTTTAATTAACTTAAGTTATGCATTGTGTACCAGCTGTTCTAAAACAGTATTTCTCATTCACTTTATTTATAAAGATATATAAAAACTGATTATACTATAATTTAGAAATATATAACTAATTTAATTAATATTGTAATGTTGTATCTATAAATTAATTAAAAATTACACTAGTAATTCAAAAACGTGTTTAATTTATTATTCACTGAATGTAGCTATATTATATAAAATTATTGTGTAACAACATACATACTTAATAATTATTAAATTAAAAGTAAATGTAGTTTTAAAATAAATACAACCTTAAACATTTTACATGGTTTTAGATTTAATTAATTGTTAGGTATACTCTAGTTGAACTACATAGTTTAATTATATCTTTTAGTTTTACTGAAACACATTAAACAGTTTTATTCAACTTTTTGTATTAAAAACTTACCTTATAAAGATTCATTTGACATTTTATTTCATGACTAAAATTCTTTAAAATATATTCAATAATACAGACTTTTTAAAATTATATGTTTATCAACCCTAACAAAAATAAAAGAAATCTCAAAAGTTATCGTTTAAAATCTTTTTAAGTTTGTAAATAATCAAATATTCAAATAGACCTAATTATATAAATATTGATGTTGTACATAAATAAATTAGGGTTATAAGTTTTAGAAATATATAATGTGAACAATTGGATTATTAATACTTTAAAAATAGGTTTAGAAATTTGAACTTTCCAAAAAGTTTTATATTAGATATTTTTATTTTTTTTTTTGTATGCCGATGACAATAGAAACTAAAATTACCATATTTTCAACGTAACGTAGTTTTTAAAAGTATAAACTAATTTATTTTGTTAACATTTATAAAATAAACACTTATATGCAATTTTAATCAAAAAGTTCCAACAAAATAAATTTGTATTCAGTTACATTGTTGTGTTTGAATTTTATTCGTAGACTTCTATTCAACATCTCAGTAGTAAATGATAAGCTTGATATAAAAATATTTTAAAATCATCATTCAACTTAAATTAGAAAATTAATCAAAAATTATACTATATTAGTCGGTTACATGAAAATAAACATTTTCTTTTCCATTTTGACAAACTTAAGTCTGTCTGTATCTAAACATCTGGTTATTTCATATATAGTTAAAAAAGTTTTTTTTTCTAATATTTTTATAATTACAATCGTTCATTGTTTAGTCGTTAATAATTAATAAATTAATAATTGAGTTGAAATTTATAAGATACAGATTTAACAAATTCAAAGCAATTAACTTTTCCCAATATTTTTTCTATCAATTTTTCGTTTACAAAATCTTCCTTGAATATTATACAGTTTCTTCATCTTCCTTTTGGACTGCTTATTTTAATATAAACGTCAATTTGAATATTTTTTAAAACGTATATAAATTTAAATATATTGTGAGTGAGCAAAATAAAATATAGAATTGAAGTGTGAATGAAAGGATTCACATGCGTTGGTAGTTTATATTGTACTAGGTTTAAATTTAGACAACAATTTTTAAGAAAAATTTAAGTCAGGATGAATATAATTTTTTAATAAATATTACGTGCATTTTTCTAATCGTTCTTCGTCTAATTGAATACTTACTAAATCATTTTTAAAACAGTTTTCAACATAGTTTGATGCTAAGAATAGAAGTCTAAAAAAATGTTTTAGGTAATTATCTATCTCTGCATTTATTTTTATCATCACTATTTAATCCTAGATAATGAATCTTTACCACCATTTTTTACTTAGATACATTTACAATATTTAATATTTATAATATTTTTTTATAGCCAAACTGTAAACAAGATCTGTGTGATATGCTTCTTCAAAACCAGCATAAATCATTTCAAGTATAAAATCGAAATTTCGTATATTACATTCATTGAGAATATATGTAAAAGTTTAAG